GACTCAGAAAAATGGATGAACTTCACCAACCTCAACCACAAAATCCAAGATGGCTGCTTTGCAGATCAGCAGTAAAAAGCTGTAGTAATGTACTCGTTAGCACTTACAGTATGTCTTAATCGTGTCTTATTAAAACAGTCGTTCTCACAGTACTGCCCAACTATCTGTGAACATGTTGCTACAGTGTTTGTATGTGCAAAATACCACAATGTGTTGTTATAAACTGGTATTGCTACCAGTGGCTAACAATGACCAACATGGCTCAACTGGTATAATAGTTAACTGAAAATGGAATGCAGTTAACTCTGGTGTGATGTCAATCCCAGCTCAGACTTCCCGAGCTCTTATTATGATATTGGTGTAGATTTTTATTTTGCTTATGTGCGAATACAATGAAATATGGGGTGATGAATGAGAGAACAGTTAGAGGATAGAGGCAGACACTCCCCTTTCGCCATTGTTGTTTCCCTCTATCAACTCTGTACATGCTATTCAGTAAGAAGAAGGGAAGTGTTTGATAATGAAGACAAGATGTTAAAAGCAGGTTATGACAACTCTGTAAACTTGCCTGTTTCCATTGCTCTGCCAAGTCTATATTTGATTCAGCTTTGGGATGTTTGCTCTATATAAATAAATGTCACTCACTTTGGCTTACTGGAGAGAGAGCCCAGTCCCACCAGCCATGCATGGCAGAAATGAAATACACTGTAGATAGCTGTGACCGAAGCACAGTATGACCACAGAAGCACATGCAAAGTTACAGATAAATGTACCAGCATTTCCAGTATTGTTGTCATTACCGTCAGGTTATAAACTGTTGTGGCAGTCTTCTCCGTTGGGCTTCAGGCTCTTCTTCACTTTCAGTCGTTGTGGCCTTAAGGAAGAATTGTTATTTTATTAACCTGGGTATTACATTCAGTTTTGGACATAACTGTTTGTACAAGGAGCACAATGAATACACTGTTCCAGTACGACTAGAAACACAAGTAGATGTTCAAATAGATGACCATATTTCAATTGAGTTCTCTGTTTAGCTAAACGGGTTTTCAACCAGTGGTCCCTGATCGTGTATTCAGTGATGTCATTTCACTGTGATCATTATTACTGTTTTTATTTTTGAATGTTTCCATGTATTTACTTTTGTTTGTGAATAATCAAATTCATGCAAATTAAACAATTTAGAAAAGCCAATGTGACTTTGAGGATTAAAAGGGTGCCCAGCGGTCTAGTCACACCACAACAGTGGTCCTTAAGATGCTTCTTAGTTAGAATGGTGGTCTCTGGGTCACAGTCATTTGAAAACCCCTGGTCTAAAGCTCGATTTGGGAAGGGAAAAAACAGCTCAGTGTCTATATTATCTCTCACATTATCTGCTGTTAACATCCATCAAACTATGCAGTGCTTTTAATCTATAGTCCTCACCACACTTGCCTTTTATAATGCAAAAATCATCTTCATATTTTCAACTGAAAAATACACATTTTTGGGGGGTGTTCCTCAACACTTTGCTTTCTGTTCTTGTCAGTTATGGTTTTATAGTACTTGTCTTGTGCTAATATTCTGCTGAATTCAATATGAATGCACCTTTTTGAATGATTATTGCTAGCTTACAGAATCTAGATAAAAAAGAAGGGGCTATGCATGTTTTTTTCTTTACTTTTTTTGGTCAAACAGCAGAATTTAAAATCATATGTGTAGGGTGTGTGTATATGTATGTACGTATATATATATATATATATATATAAGATGCATTTGCATGAGTTGAAGAAAGTTTCTTTGCTGAAAATCCCCTTTTAAAAATTGTGGTTGGTCCTTGAACTCTTTTGTAAAGATTTCTGTTTTCCAAATTCAATGCAAAAATCTTTCTACAACTAGTATGAACTTTCAGTGTAAATGTATTTGATATGTTTATAAGAGCAATAAAAAAGTCCACTTTGAAAACATGCCCATGTTGTAGATTTCTTCTATAAATGTGGGCCATCATAGACATGATGTTTATTGCCTAATTCAGTATTTCAAAGGCTATGCTTAGATTTAGGTATTTAGTGATAGCAGCTTTAGAAATAATAACAAATTGGGTTTGACCTAATTCCCTTAAATAATTTTTTACTTTCTGAATATAATACAGCAGTTACCTTATGACTGCATTAATAATTACTAAATGTCTGTGGTATCCCGCCAGTGGCGGTTTTTGGCATGGGTGAACCGGGCAACCCGCAGGGGCGACCTTTATTCATGACACGTGGGGGGGGCGGCACAAGCACTTGGAAAGAAAATAATCTGCGCCGCTAAGCAGTTTTCTATTATCTATCATATGTGGCGCCCCTGCTTGATTAGAAGGTGCCGTGCACAGAAGTTGTGTGAGAGGTGGAAAGGGGAGGGGAGGGGGCACAGGAGGAGAGTTCACCTCTCCCAAATGGAGTGGACGAAGGGTCCACTTAGTAGGCTAAACTAAGCTAGTGACACCTTGACTTTCTTCCAAATAACGCACATTTCATTCATAATATTATAAGCACAGACCTGCTAGGTATGACAGGTATGACATGCTATCTGCAATACAGCATGTCAGCAAACTTATGCAGTCTCCAAATATGCATGTGGACCTAGCTGTGAGTCTTTTGAAGAAGACTGAGCGAGGTCTCCAGAGCTACAGGGCAAGTAGCTTTGTGACTGCACAGATGGCGGCCAAAGACATTTGTGAAGAAATTAATGTGGAGGCTGTTTTGAAACAAAAAAGGCTGAGGTCCACAAACCGCCACTTCTCATATGAGTCACATGATGAGCCTTTCAGTGATGCCCTTAGGAAGATGGAGGTTGGATTCTTCAATGTTGTTGATGATGCAGCCATGTCAGCCATCAGGAAGAGGTTTACTACATTGGAAAATGTGGAAAACAAATTTGGGGTTTTGACAAATTTCCCAAGTCTTGCAGATGAGGAGCTGGCAGAGCAATGCAATGCACTAGGCACAACACTACACTTTGAAGGGCACTCTGATTTGGACATTAGAGAGCTTGTGCAGGAAATCAAGAACTTCCCTCACCTGCCATCAAAAGCCATGAGCCTCCTTGAGCTTATCACTTTTCTGCAAGATAAAGATCTATCAGAGATCTACCCTAACTTTTGGACTGCTCTCAGGATTGCACTTACTCTGCCAGTCACTGTGCCTCAAGCAGAGAGGAGCTTTTCAAAACTGAAGTTGATCAAGTCATACCTGAGGTCAACCATGTCTCAGGAACGGCTCACTGGCCTTGCTATCATCAGTATCAATCACTCAATAGGGGAGCAGATTTCGTATGATGACATTATTGATGATTTTCCATCAAGGAAGGCCAAAAAGGTCAGATTTTAGTTTTTGTTTTCTGTTTTTAGTGCAGTGTAATAATAAAATTTTCTTTGGATTTGTGCTATTTAGAATATTTATTCTATATTTTATTTGTATATTATTCTTAATATTTTATATTATTGTTGTTCTCTGCTCTTGTTATATTCTGATTGTATACAAAAAAGTGTCAAAAATATGTACAGAGTATATTTATTTAAGTTCGGATATCATATACTGTTTTGTGCAGAATTGTGGTTTTCAAATGTTCTGTTGAAGGATTTGTGCAACTGAGAAAGACGTTTGTCTTACACTTATATTGTTACAGTAAAACATCACTGTGCAAAATTTAGTGTTTTTTCTGGGGGGGCGCTCAGAGGGGGGTCTCGCCCGGGGAGTAATTCAATGTAGAACCGCCACTGGATCCCACACTGTTGCAGAAGGTCCCACAAGTGTGTTGCACTTGTCAGTTTGTTTGCTATTCCGTCTTCACCTGGAATGACACTGTGCTACCATTACACCATTTGAAGCTGACTGTCGTCTTGTTGTTCAAAAAAAACCTGTAAGGGATTTTTTTTTTTTTTTGGCTCATTATCCTGCTATAGGATTATGCGTCTGACTCCCTTTTTCCAAATAACGCCTCAGAGGCTGTAGTAACAGTCTCTTCAAACACTGCCGTTGTATAAATAGGAATTGTTGTAAGTAATCAAGAAAAGTTGGGACACCTGTAGGAATAGTTTGCATCAATTTTCATGCCTTTATTTATTTCCACTGTTGCAGAAAAGATGGAAATGAACCTCTTACTTGATCCCTAAAAAAGGCCTGTTTTTTAAACACACACATCTGGGGGCACCTTGCCCCAGATGTTTTCTTCACACAAGCCTGCATGAACCTCCTCTTTCTATTAGCGATGTGTTTTTCTGTCTGCCTTTGTAAATTTTTACAAGTACTTAAATTCTAACAGGGAAAATGAAGTTACCTCGAACTTTAAGAAGTCAGCAACAGAAACTAGTAGACTATAACGAATCTTTGAAATGGTGGACGTTTGGGCCCTTATCATTAGCTCTGCTGAAATTTGGCGGTCATAGATGCAGTTACAGGTGAGTGGGCATCTCCCCCCATCTAGATACCCTATAAACACTAGATGCCACCGCGGGGCTTTGAAATGCGGACGTCCGCGCAGAGCTGTCACACCACATGCACAACCACGAGGCGGCGCGCTTACAATTTCATGGGAGCTGTAGTTTTCTTTTCGGATGCTAAAAAAATAACCATTTCATGTAGTAGATGGCGATTTGCCTTAGAATGTGGAAAGGGTTCCAAAGAACACGCTTTGTTTCTTTAAAAACCAATGAAAAATGGTGAATGAGAAATCGCATTGTAACACAAGCAAGACCGGGTCCTGCCGGCCGGATGTGACGTCAAGATCGCGGCTGGTCATCGCGAGCTCTGTTGTCTCTGTAGGGACCGAAGACAAGTGTCTCCGTTTATGATGGATTCAGGAAATACAGTGTTGCAGACGGCTGAAAATGGAAACGGAGGTTTGTCATTTAGGTCAAACGCCACAGATAGACGCCAAATCAGCAGTGCTGTGTGTTATGATAGCTTTGCGACTAGACTAGCCACTCAGCTAACTCATTAGAATGCTAGCCAGCTTCACGTCTGTCGCTACGTTCAAGACGCTGCTTACACCGTTGTCGTAACCTGAATAGTTACGTTTTATTTCGAGCATTTTGTAAAGCGCTGTTTGTCCCTTGCAGGAAACAAGAGAACAACGTGTCCGCTACACGGCTGCAAACGAGTGTACACAGACATGAGCGCCCTGGAAAGCCACATCAAGGACCATGAGATCCCAGCCGAGTCCCTTCCTGGTAAGCTCCTCAGCAAATAACGCTGCTCCGCCTCACCCAGAACCGGAGTCTTGGGCCCAGAATACAAGAGCAAGAGCCAGAGCCAGAATATACGGACGGTGGTTAAATGGCAGGTCTGGAATGTTTTCATGTCATCCTGGGCCATTAAAGTCCTGTGTCCTGTTCACACTGGTTATAAAGAGATCCCTTCTAAACACAGCTCTGCTGTAAGTTAATAGACGTGGAAAAATCCGATCCTTGTGTGAAAACCCATACACACGCACACATAAAAAAAATAAATAAATTCCCCACTTGCCCCACTTTGGAACAGTCTTGTGCCTTCCTTCAAACTCAGGTCCTCTACAAGAGGAGCTGGGAGCTTGAGGGTCCTGCGCAGTATCTTAGCTGTTCCTAGGACTGCACTCTTCTGGACAGAGATCTCAGATGTTGTTCCTGGGATCTGTTGGAGCCACTCTCCCAGTTTGGGGGTCACAGCCCCCAATGTTCCTATTACCACGGGGACCATTTGTTCCTTCACCTTCCACATCTTTTCTAGCTCTTCTTTCAGCCCTTGGTATTTCTTAAGATTCCCGTGTTCCTTCTTCCTGATGTTGCTATTGCTTGGGATTGCTACATCACTATGGCCTTCTATCTGACAGTGGTACATACTGTGCAGAGGTTTATCCTTCCAAAGTCTGGGCAATTAACACCTACGCCCTGCCGGTCATCAGGTACCCTGCTGGCATAATTTTAT